GTGCCCGCCCCTCCCCAGGCAAAGAATGCCCTGGCCCACGCGCTGCAGTCAGCCCGGCACGACTGTGACCTGCTGCGTGAGCAGTACGAGGAGGAGACGGAGGCCAAGGCTGAGTTGCAGCGCGTCCTGTCCAAGGCCAACTCAGAGGTGGCCCAGTGGAGGACCAAATATGAGACAGATGCCATCCAGAGGACCGAGGAGCTTGAAGAAGCCAAGTGAGTCCCAGGCAGCCTGCCTTTCGCTGAGGCCACTCTGCAGGCAGGACACACCCCTACCCAAACCTGGGAAGATTCTGTACCTCGTAATGGATGTTTGGTCAGGTTTTGACAACACAGGAGAACCCTGTCTGGGGGACCCCACTTCTTTCTCCTCTCAGGGAAGCTTTTTGCTCGCGTTATGTTTCTCATCCGAATATAAGACGAACAAAAGGTTTGTCTGAGGGCAGAGTGCTTCCACCTGGGGCAGGGGGCTGGGGTGGTGGTGGGGGGTTGCAGAAGCCCATGTGTCTTCCATGTCTGTGTCCTAGAGGCTGGCCCAGGGTCAGAGGAGGCCACCTGGAAGGCCCTCTTGGGTTCTGTGGGTCTTCACAATCTGCCACCAAGACCCTCCACCTGCCTGGTTCTCAGCTCCCTGGGGCCTATCCTCATCTTCTCCCACAATGCTTCTGAATTTTCAAGGATTGTTTTCTAGAACACTCATGTTGTTTCCCCTTGTCCAAATCTACACCCTCCATCCTCCCCACCCTCTCCCCTCCACCACATCCCCACTGCCCTGGGCAGGAAGAAACTGGCCCAGCGGCTGCAGGACGCAGAGGAGGCCGTGGAGGCCGTCAATGCCAAGTGCTCATCCTTGGAGAAGACCAAGCACCGGCTGCAGAATGAGATCGAGGACCTGATGGTGGATGTGGAGCGCTCCAATGCAGCCGCCGCAGCCCTGGACAAGAAGCAGAGGAACTTCGACAAGGTGAGCCTGGGCTGGGGGCCTCAGCCAGGGGCCCAGCAGGAAGGCCAGTGGCGTCACGAAGACTGGGACCTCCTCCTTAAGGGCAGGGGAGGAGGCTGAGCCCAGCCCAGGGGCCTGGGCAGGCCTTGGAGTGGGGCTGGGGCTGGGGCTGGGGGCCATGCAGTGAGCCAGGTCCCCACAGATCCTGGCCGAGTGGAAGCAGAAGTATGAAGAGTCGCAGTCAGAGCTGGAGTCCTCACAGAAGGAGGCGCGCTCCCTCAGCACAGAGCTCTTCAAGCTCAAGAATGCCTATGAGGAGTCCCTGGAGCATCTGGAGACCTTCAAGCGGGAGAACAAGAACCTTCAGGGTACGCTGGGGCCTGAGAGG